CTGGGCATTCTCCTTCCTGTAACCCTTGAACCCCTCAAGAAGCCTTGACCTTGTGAACTGGGCTAACCAACCCCTTCTCAAGGGCCCCTTGTGTCCTTTTTTATAGAGAATGGTGGACATAACTGGGATTAGAGAGGAAAAGATGGGCAGTTCTTGGGTTTATGCAAAAATGTGGGAGCCCTAAGATTTAAGAATGGAGGGTTAGGATTGTTTTAAGGAGATCCTAAAGTTGAGAAGAGGAGGAGAGAGCGCCCAATATTATGTAGGGCAGAGATTTGGGCGCCCTAAGGTGATTGGTTGAGTTTTAAGGAGTGAGGTGTAAGGCTAGAATACTGTTTAGGGAGAGATCTAAGGGTATGAGAGGTTACTAAGGCTTGTATGGTTGAGATTAGAGGTTAGGAGCAAGTGGAGGGTGGAGATTTGATAGCCTAGGGCGGCCAAGAGAGAAAAAGATGAGGGGGAGGCACCTAGGGTTTCAATGACGAGAGAGAGTTCTGCTAATTTAGTGGGAGGGGCGCCTATCTGGGTTTGGTAGATAGGAGGCGCCCTTCTATGCTCATTTTTTAATATAAACACCCACTCTCTCAGTTGGAATTCACACCAACTTCTCAAAAGCTGCATTTCAGCCCTGAAACTTCCCCAGTTTTCCCTAGCATTTGCATAGGGACCCTCCTCAAAGGTCACAATATTGAATTTAACTAGGAAAATGCCACATTTTGACTATTCTAAGGCCTAGGTAACCTTAAAATGATGCCTGGTAAGGCATCAAAATACAGAGTTATCACACCCCCAACTTGATCATTGCTAGTCCCTTAGCAATGCAGCCTTAAAATTACACTGAATAAAGAGATCATTCCCATTGCAAGATCATCCCTAACAAAATTAGCCAAGTATCATGATTTTAGAATTCTCAAACTTTGTATAGATCAGTATTGGGTTTAAGGGGTAAAACCGTCATGCTTTAAACATTACTGAAACTTGGCTTAAAAATCTTTTATACCCTTCCATTTGCAGACTATCTTAATAAGCTGAGATTGATTTTTAAAATCAGGCAGGCATTCTTCTTATCATTTCTGACAGTGGATTTCTACCCCTGAACTTGATATGCACACACATTTTTATTGCTACCTTTCACCGTTTGACGCGAATCTCAACACTTGACTTAGATGAAGAGACCCGGTTACTAAGTGTTAGGTAAGTGTCTTTGGCATTCCTTTTCTCGTTTGACGCAAATCTCGACACTTAACTTAGGTGAAGAGACTCGGTTACTAAGTCTAGGGTCTCCATTGACCTTTTATTCTCCATTTTTCTTTCTTTTTTTCTACTGTGTAAAATTCAGCACTATTCGGGGTAGTCCACTATCTCTATTAATTTGAAGAATTTTTCGTTTGATTTCTCAATTTTTCTCTTCTTATCTTCACAAGGGAAAACTTGGGAGTATTTTCAATTTCTAAACAGTTTCGACAACATTCAAACAAGACTAATTTAACTCCTGTCACTTGCTACCAATCTCTATAAAATTCAATATTCTTTTATCAGTTTCTTTAACTTTTTTTGTTCGGGAATATCTTTTAATGGAAAAAAAAATTAATTTTTTAGTGAAATTTTAATTCTACATATTTAAAGGCTTAGCTTCTCAATTTTTTTTCTGTCAAATTTTCAAAACTTTATCTCTTTCCTCACTCCCAACTTAAATGCCATTGTTCCCAATGGCATGACTAGAATGATGCAAAAGGGACTTGGGCCAAAGGGAACAATCAAGAAGTAAGAATTCAACAGGAGTTTAGGATTTGCCAACTGAATTCTAAAACTTATTCAAAAGAAAAGACAAACTCTAACAAGACAACTAAAATAAAATTTCGTTGGGTTGCCTCCTAACTAGCACTAAATTTAACGTCTTCAGCTACGCCTTCACTCACTTCTCACATCTACACTTCCAGACTCGCTTTATTCTTTACACAAACAGGGCTCAAATTGGGCTAACCAAAGGGTAGACAGGGTATCGGCAATGTCATCCACTACATCTACCTTGAACTCATCTTCCCCTAGGTTTGAATACTTAGTAGCACTAAATACATTTAATCGGACTTTTTGCTCCCCAGATGAAATGTCCATTTCTCCCGATTTACAATTGATATTTGCATTGGTAGTTGCTAGAAATGGACATCCTAAGATTATCGGGTTATGGTTCAGTTCCTCAGTATGGGTCATGTGTAGGACGATAAAATCCACTAGGAAGTAACAATCCTCTACTCTGACAATGACGCCCTCAATAACACCTCGAGGAGTCTTGATTGACCGATTAGTGAGTTGCAGAATTACCGGGGTAGGTTTTAACTTGCCGATCTTGAACCTTTCATAAATAATAGAGGGGAGCAGATTTACATTAGCCCCAAGGTCCAATAGGGCCCGATCGAAAATGATACTAGAGATGACATAACTTATTAGAGGAGTACCAGGGTCTTTCATTTTCTAAGGGAGTTGGTTTAGGAGAACTGCACTAACATCTGCTGAGAGCATCACTTTTTGTGGGGCCGATCGTGGTTCCCTCTTTTGAGTATATAACTCTTTCAAGAATTTGGCATGGGCTTGCTTGAATAAGTCCCTGATCTCCTCGTTGTGAGTTTCTTTCGTCTTTTGCAATGGCTTGGCTGTGAGTGGTTGGAAAGGGAACTATAGGTTGGTTCACTATTGGTTCTTCTAAATTTTCCTTTCCTTTTTATTTCCCCTCCAAACTTATGGTCTTCTTGCTCTTTTTCTTTTTCACTGATGTTTTCAAATTTCTTTTTCTCATATGTGTCCTCTAAAATGCTCCCATTCCTTAAAGTCGTAATAGCCTTGACATTTTCAAATTGAGGGTTCCTAGGAAGTGGTTGAACCTGCTGTGGAGGAAAACCCGGTGGTTGATTTCTAGGATTCATAAACAGTTGACTTGGTAGTTGTCCTACTTCTCTCCTCACATTGGCTTCAGCTAGCTGTCCTATTTGGCTCTCTAATCTAGCGATGGACTGTTGTTGAGTTAGAATCAGCTCGAAACAGGCCGCGATGAACATTGGCTAGCGCGAATCTGCAATAAACCTTAGACATACATAAACTTACGATAAAGCTTAAACACACGCAAATTTGCAATGATTTATAAAAGACATGCGCGGATTCGCAATAAACTTCAGACGCGTGCAGAGTTGCGATGAACCTGAGACCATTACAAAACCATGGAATCATAGTTATATGTGTGTCTTTAAAATACGCATGCGGGTTTAATAAAAGTATGCCCGCCGAACGATGATGCCACTCATGCCACGTTAGTATAATAGGGTCACATACAGAGAGAATCCAAAAGGGATAGGATTCTCTAGTAATGCTCCCTTAATAGTCAAACAAAAGGAAATGTCTGCTTTCCTAATAGAAAAAGATCCTCTTTCTTAATAAGAAAGAACTCCTTCTCTCTATAAAAAGGGGAGAGCAATTCTTTCCTAGGAAACAACACAATAATAACTTAGACCTAGGGTTTCTCAGAGAGGAGGATTCTCCCTTTTCTCTTCTCTTCCTCCTTCCCCACATCATTTCTCTCTTTCCCGTTGCCATCTCCGGACCTTCGAAGAACTGACCAATTGCTAAGAGTCCATGGTGAAAACACCATGCATGCATGATATGGATACGGTAGGGAGGCCCATGGCCAGGGAACATGCATGGTAATTGGCCACACCACAAATATTGGTGGAGATCGAGATCATCCAATTGCATTCTCTCCGAAAGCAAAATACCCTTTTGATTTTTGATTAGTGATGCAGAGGGCATTTAGGTAATTTAAATGATGTAACGGTACTATGGAAAGATAAGGTAGGAAAGGAAGGAAAACGTGTGAAATGGATAGTTGGATACCTCGTACCCCAATCGATGAAAAAGATTTTCGAAGAGAAAGGCATCTCTCTCTCTCTCTCTCTTTATATATATATATATATATATATTATGAAATGGTGATACGTGGATGGTTTTAGCATTTAGTAAATGGAATTTCCAAGTGCAGATTTATTTATTTTTTTGGGGTTTTACTGCTCAATCCACCCCTAAAAACCTTAGCTCCATTGTATAGGTGGAATAAATCTTGACGATGCAGTTTATAAGGGGCTACTACTAGACTAAATTCAGATTTCTGAGGGACAATACAGTGGGGGGCTGTAAATTCAGATTTCTGAGGGACAATACAATGGGGGGCTGTAATTCAGATTTCTGCATTAGGTTGCAGTGTACTTAACAACCCTTTTTTTGTAACCGACTCTCTCTACCTTAATTTTCAGAAAAAAAATAATTTACCTTAATTTCCAGAAATAGATTTATTTTTTTTATAACCTACTCTCTCTACCATAATTTCAAAAATAACTTACCCAAAAAATAATTAAAAACCTGTTTCTGTAGCCATTTCGATGTGAGGTTCTCACCACTATTACTAGACATAAATTTTAATTTATTTAAAGTAACTTTTTTGCTAAGATACTTTCACTAAAAGAAATACCTTCTCAACTCACTACAAGAAAATAAACTTATAGCTATAGACAAAACCGTAGCAACAAATGTCAAAAACCATAGCTATAGATCTATAGCTACGGACTAGCTACAGTCAAGAAATGGTAGCTACAGTCACGGTGGCTATAGGCAATATTTACTACTAAACGAATCCATAGCTATAACTAACCTATAACTACGGTTTGTGCTTGTAGCTAAAGCCTAATCTAAATAATTATATATGTACTTGTAGGTATAGTTTTTAAGTTAGCCATAGCTACAAATTTGACTTTCTAGCTACAGTTTTGTGATGTCCGTCGTTACAAAATTTGCATTTATAACCGATTTAAATAGTTGGTAGCAAAAGACATCAATCTATAGGTATGGATATTATGGCCGTAGCTAAAAAAATAACCTATAGCTACGGTTAACGTTTTATGTAGTAGAAGAACAACAATCTATAGCTACGGAAGTGAATTAGCTGCAGCTAGCTAATATAACCTTCAGCAACGGTTTTCATTGACTGTGCTAAAAAATAACGTTTTATGTGTTTATTACAAATTAAAGGTTCTTGAATACATGAAACTCAATCCAAAAAAAAAAAAAACGGGTCATGTAAAGTTTAATCAAATGTCTCCATCTACACGTGTGAAGTATCCTCCTTTACCATGTTCAACCTATAAGAAAATAAGTTAGAAATCACATTTTTTGAGATATAAAATCATGTATGAAAATTTGATTAAATATATATGCAATATAAACTTGCCTACTTTCCAAGCCTAATGTTAAACAAATGACAAATGCAAGGATTGAGATCAAACACAACTTTCATGAATTCTGGATTTTCATTAAATACAACAGCATTTATGAATTCTACGTAGGGCCCAGCCCGGAACAGAAGAAGTGTCCCGAAATCCCTCCCAAATGGGCACTAATATGGTAGAAGGAAAAGGCAACCCTTAGCATTTCAAGCTCTTTGAAATGAAGGGTGATTATAAGATATCACATACAGCCAACAAACAAAAACCTATGAAGTCATAAGCACTTTACAGATCATTCCTAGGACATCATAAACCCCATCACAAAGCTTCCCTATTACAACTCCACTTCTTGCTAGTGTATGGCTTTACTTCATTCTTTTATCAACCAAAGTGTCTAAGTTGTCATTTCTCATTTTATACCTCCTTAAGCCAAAATCTTGCTTTAAGTTTATCTGGCAGTTGAGAATATGACCTCACTATTCAAAGAGGGGTGAAGCACCAACAGTTATCCATTTTATTATTGTTTAGATTCTCTTCTAATTGAATTTGAATCAAGTTTCCAGCATTGTCAATTCAATAATTTATGACATTTACATACTTATAAAGTATATTCCAAGGGATGGAGCACTGTGCTGGGAAAGTCTTGGAAAGAACTAACACTTGAGACCAACTTCAAAGGAAGAAGCCGTTTTGGTACTTGTCTCCTAACTGTTGTACTCTTTGTAAAGCCAGTGGTGAGTTTTGTTACCATTTTTTAATCCCCTTCCCCTTTGTTTCTTCTATTTAGGTTTGGTTTCTCTGACTCAAAGCATGGAAGTCAAGCTGCAGTTGGTAAAAAGATATGCCAATTCCTTTGCAGACGAACTTGGTAAACAAGGGGTGGGAAGAAATCATTTGCTTTGGGCTACTTTGTAATTTTGTTTTTCTTTGGGAGGAGAGTTAAGAGAGTTTAACTCTTCCCACCTTTGTACTTGATTCATATCTTTTAATGAAAATTTTCTGTTATTGTTCAAAAAAAAAAGAGTAACTCATTAGGTAAAGTCTTTTATTATCTTTTCTCCTTTCGCTTTTGATGATATTGTGTAGATATAGGGGGAGGTGGTCTATTCTTCCTCTAAGAAAGTGGTGGTGAAAAATCCATGGAAACCGCCTGATAGGGGAGCTTTCAAATTCAACTTTGATGACAGTAATTTGGGGAATCCAGGTCCATTTGGAATGGGTGGTGTGTTCAGGGATGAACATGGCAGAGTTAATGCAGTGTTCTAAGGTCGAATAGGGATTGAAGATTCTATTAGAGCAGAACTGCTAGCACCACTTCAGGGCATCAGTTTGGCAAAGCAAATGAATGTCACTAATCTGCTCATTGAAGGTGATTCAAAGACTATAGTAATCGGGTTATCCAATGAAGGTAAAGCTTTGTGGACTTGAGAGGAACTTAAATTAAATGACCGACTTTGAATATGGGAGTTAACTTCAGTGGGTKCCAAGATTGAACAATAATRT